TGGTGACGCATGGGGAAACACGAATAAAGGAATCCAATTGTTAAAAAGTAAATGTGCACACGCAGCGATTTTCCCAACCATGGAGCAAAACGACACAGGGTAATGGGAAAAGAAAACAGTACTGTACCTCGACGCCGATCGACAGACCAGTACAGCCGCTTCAAAAAGTGCACAGACTTGAATTAATTAATGATATATCCTATCCTAGACCAAGCACACCGATTGGCGACAGTGGTGCAGCTTTTCGACGCTTTGCTGTCGCACACATTAAGAGACCCGAGTTCGATTCCCGAGTGGGGAAAACATTTAATCGTGTATCTCAGTCTTTCTGCTGGGGTGTTTATCCCTCTCAGTTTGTGTTGGCCCAGCTGGCAGACAAGATTGAAACCCCGCCTCCTAAATTATATTTTAAAATATATTATGACCTATTGGGGTTTCAAGTGCCGTAAAACTCGCATTGAAATTAAATAAACCGTACAACAGAAGTGAACGCGACACTTTTGAGACTTACACACAACCATTCTACCCCGAGAACAAAGTTCCGCAATTCGCCACAATGCCAAACATATTGTGGTGACGTCATAGCCAGCGGCATGGAATGGGCGTGTCTCCGAGCAATCGGGTCATAAAAGCATGACGATAATTAACAACATTATTGTGCGACATTACAACAACAGGTGCCCATTGGCGGATAGGATCGGATCGGATCGGATCGGATCGATCAGATCGAGTCAGGCCTGTTAATGACAGTTTTACGGCAAAATACGAATTGATCACTCCCTTGTTGTGTCAAATTTGACTAAGAAATTAAGGGATAAACAAGCTAAGATCGGCGCGCAGTATTATTGTACACCAAAACTTGCCCTTCACAACAAGGCAAGTTTCTTCAATAATGGTTTCAACAGTTGTTATTTTTTTAATTTGCCGACTGACACATATCGCGGTTGCTGTGTTCATGTTCTTCTTTTCCATGTTCTCCTACTCCCTCTCTTCCACCTGTTTCTTCCCCTCCTTCACCATCATCATCATCATCATCATCATCATCATCATCATCATCATCATCATCATCATCATCATCATCATCATCATCATCACCACCACCACCACCATCATCATCGCCATCTTTTTCTCTAGAGCCATGCACTATCT